GATTCAGAAAATCACAAAACTAGTCCTAGTCCTTGCTTTTAGATAGTTTAGTCATCTAATAAATTCCTCCCGCCCACCCACTCATTATTTTGCTTAAACTAGCTTGAGTAAGATTTTTGTCAATTATAACCCAAAAGCCCTAATACATTTCCCATATTCAGTCATGATAAAACTAAATATAAAAATAATAGTTTTTTTAACTGCCTCACTCTTACAAATCTAAATAATGTTATATTCTAAACTCTCCTTCCCACCTACAGTTTTTTGGGGTTTTTTTCAACTTTACTGGGGTATAATTGACAACAGAAATTGTGTATATTTTAGTTGTACAACTTGATATATACATACGAGTTTTTATATACATACGAGTATAGATGGTGAAATAATCACCACAGTTAAGCTGGTTAATATATCCATCACCTCACAGTTCCCTCCTACAATTTTAAATATATACAAATAAACTTTTAAAGAAGAACAATATACATACCCTATTTTAAATTTATATATATATAAATAAAACAAAAAATATATAGTTCATACATATGAAATTAACACATCTTCAAGATTTAAAAATGCTAAGTATAGAGAAAGGTTTCAACCTTCTCCCATTAGTCCAATGCCCCAGAATTAACAACTTTCAATATTGTTAATAGATGTTGATAATGAACTGTTAGATTTGATTTATAAATTTTAAATATTATCTCTTGACTTCCAGCTATGGGAGAAGAGAATTTAACTCCTCACACTACCAATTTCACCTTCCCAATAGTTAATCATTACTTTTATTATTTCCCCTATTATTTATCTTTATAACATTACTTACACCTTTATTTATGGTTACTACTGATATTCCAATTTCTAAAATAAAAATTAAATGAAGGATATTAGTGCCCTTGTCATTCACTTTCAACTCAACTTCTATTAAGTACTCTTATATTGAAAGGTTAATAACTTCCCTCTGTTCTATAATTGTTTTTTTACTTTGTCTAAAAGTTGAAAGTCAATAAACATCATTTACATTAAGAAAAGTATATAAATAACATTCACTGCATATCTAATTAGTTTGCTATGATTCTGTGTCCTTTCCTATTCAGATTATTTTTAATTTTCCTGGAGTGTCTAATTCCCTTTTTATTTCCTTTGCCTTGTCTACTTTATTATTATTTATTTATTTATTTATTCATTCATTCATTCATTCATTCATTCATTCATTCATTCATTGGGTAACAGTGTATTTTTTCCAGGACCCTTCAGCTCCAAGTCAAGTCGTTGTCCTTCAATCTAGTTGTGGAGGGCACAGCTCCTTGGCCCATGTGGGAATCGAATCAACAACCTTGCTGTTCAGAGCACGCGTTCTAACCAACTGAGCCACCCGGCTGCCCCTTTCCTTGTCTACTTTTATCACTACCTTAAATGGTTCCAAATTCTCAAAGTTAGTCTCAAATCTCCATTTTTACTGGATATTTCCCTCTTTGGGGGGGCATATCTGTAAATAAGACCTATTACTCAGCAGTAATCCTGGGATTTCTCTTCCCTCTATCTTAAGTAAAAGCTACTGTTTTCTACATTCACTGTCATCTGGTCTTTTTATATTACACCATCATCTGGAATACACTCTCTAATAACTTCCCAAGAAAAAGTATGTGGACAAGTTAATCTCCCAGGTCTTTACATGCCTGGAAATGTTCTCTCTACTCTCACAGTCCACTGACAGTATGAATGAGTATAAAATTCTACATTGAAAGTAATTTCCCCTCAAATCTTTAGAGACACTGATTAATTATAGTTTACCACCCATTATTGATTGTATGAAGACTGATATCAATCTGATGTTTGTTGCTTTATAGGTGACCTAGTTTTTCCTCTCTAGAAGATGTTTACATCTGCTTTTCATTTTTGATATTCTGAAATTGCAAAATGATGTATTTAGCTGAGTATCTTTCATATTCATTGTGCTGAGCATTTCTTTGTGTTTTTCATCCTGGAAGTTCATGAATTTCAGTTCTGGGAAATTCTTTCAAATTATGTCTTTGAAAATTTCCTCCAATGTATTTTCTCTAAGTTCTTTTCTAGAACTCCAACTAGTTAAATAGCAAACCTCATACATGGAGCTATCATATAATTTTTTCTTTTCTGACATGTTCCTTCTCTTTGGTTTTGATTTATAGTCTATATTATTTGTTTAACTTTACTTTCCAAACTTCCTACAGAAATTTAAATTTTAATCATCATATTTTCTTAATTTCCACAAACTCATTTTTGGAATCTCATTATATCTTTCATATAGCATGATATGTTGATGTTTCAATATTATACATATCTTCTCAACTCTCTTTGAAAATACTAATTACAGATTTTATATTTCTTTTTTTAATTTTTTGTTTTCAATATTAAAACTAGTTCTTCCAGAATTTGTTTTAATTGTATTCGTTTCATGTTGAAGGCATTCCTTATGTGTCTGATGATTCCTGAATACCAATTAATATTTAAGAATAAGGCCATAACCCATGAATTGGGAGTCCTATGAGCATGTCTCGAGTTTGGTGACTTGATGAGTTTTTCTTTAGGATAATTAAGTGATTTGCTAGCTGTCTCAAAGAGGAACCATTAATTACCAGAATGTTAAAAAAAAAAAAGGAGCAATACTGTTTCCCACCCCACCCTGGGCCCTAAGGCCAGGTGATTGGCCTGAATGGAAAAACTGCAATTAACTCCTTTATCTGGATCCTCCCAAAGTATCTCATTCCCTACTCTCTATTTCACATCTTGCATGTGCAAATTCTATACCTTTGTAGGATTCTGGGAGGAGGGGGCAAGGACAGCCTGTCTTCCTATTTTACAAGGCAGAGGATAATTTTGTGTTCACTGCCACCAGTTTTAAAAGATGTTTTATAAACAATGAGCTGCTTAACAATGGGAATACATTCTAAGAAATGCACTGATAGGTGATTTTGTCATTGTGTGAACATCATGAAGTGCACTTACACAAACCTAGGGTATAGCCCACTACATACCTAGGCTGTGTGGTGTAGCCTATTGTTGCTAGGCTACAAGCCTGTACAGCATGTTACTGTACTAAATGCTGTAGGCAATTGTAACACAATGGTAACTATTTGAGTATCTAAATACATCTAAAAATAGAAAGGGTACAGTAAAAAAGATTTTTAAAAAATGGTACACCTGTATGAGAGCACTTGCCATAAATGGAGCTTGCAGGACTGAAAGTTGCTCTGGGTGAGTCAGTGAGTGAGAGGTGAGTGAGTGTGAAGGCCTGGAACATTACTGCACACTACAGTAGACTTTATAAACACTGTATACTTAGGCTACACTGCATCTATTAAAAAAATAATTTTCTTTAATAATAAATTAACGTTAGCTTACTGTAATTTTTTTACTTTACTATATAAACTTTTCATTTTTTAATGTTTAAATATTTTGTTATAACACAGCATAAAACACACACATTGTGCAGCTGTACAAACTATTTTCTTTCTTTATAGCCTTATTCTATTAGCTTTTTTCTATTTTTTAATTTTTTTATTTTTTTAAAACAATTTATATGTTTTTGTTAAAAACTAAGACACAAATACACACATTAGCCTAGGCTTAAACAGGGTCAGGGCCATCAGTATCACTGTCTCCACCTCCACATCTTGTCATGGACCTGTCATCTCTTGTGACAACGCCATCTGGAATATCTGCCGGAGGACCTGCTTGAGTCTCTTCTTCAGGAGGTCTCAGTCTTTACAGAAATATGACCATGGTAGTTTGTTTGGTTTATTTATTCTGTTTCTTCATGGATTTGCTTGTAAGCAGATAATGTACCACGAACATTCCTCTAAATTAATGAAGGCTTTTAGTGTTGGGGTCCATGTTTTCAAATTTTTTAAGGAGCTTGATGAGGTCTGCAAAAACTTCTGCTAAACCTTTCACTGTGAATCTTCTTGGGGGTTGTTCTTTCTCTTTTGCAGTTTCATTTTCTCTCGACTCTTTTTCAGCTATACATTCCTGTTTCAGTTCTAACAATTCCTCATTAGTATATTCCTCAGGAACCACCTCTGGGAGCTCCTGATGTCATTCTCATCCACACCCAGGTTAGAGTTGTTGGCCATCTCAAGCAGAGCCTTTTTGGTTTTTGCAACCTTTGTGCTAAGATGTTATGACAGCTACATCACTAGGCAACAGGAATTTTTCAGCTGCATTATAATCTTATGTGACCACCATTGTGCATGTGGTCTGTCACTGACCAAAATATTATGTGGCACATGACTGTACATAAAGATAAGTATAAAAACAAGAGTTTCACAAAATAATACTTATCCTATGAGAAGTACTCATATTTTCTATTTTATTTTGTAATGTTGATAAATGATTTCACAACCCACTATTGTGATGTAAGTGCAATTTGAGGCACAAAAAAACACAAAAAAATAAATGTGACTTGGTCTGCCATGTTTAAACAACCACTCATCTGTCTGTTTTCTGTCCCTCAGAAAATTGCTGAAATCTTTCATTCAGATGATTTTTCTCTCTTTTCTTTTCACTATATTTCTCTCTTTTACTTCTTTACTATAATTTTAGGAGGGTAAAAAGGATAAACACAAGTGCTCAATTTGTGATCTTTAACTTGAAGTCCTCTACAAGTATTTTTAAAAACCAGTAGTTTCCTAACCTCTTTCTGGCCAATTTAAGATCCTTCTGTTAACTATGATGGCCTGAATTGCTGTATTCTGGGACTTAATATTACAGTTTGCCAAGAAAACCTGGGGAATTAAAAAGGAAAAGTGCTTGTAGTGACCATAAGAATTTATATAACAATTCCATTTAACTCTACAACTAAAAGTAAAATTGTGATTAACTGAATACTTAAATGAAATGGGAATTTCTTTCTGAGGGAAGACTTGTTAAGAAAGGTGCCTTCCACAATAAAAATAATCAGAAACCAGTTCTCAAATACATCAAGAAAAATAATAGTTTTATAAGAAGTAAAGAGTACTTACAAAGCAAGGCTACTCAAAACGTACTGTACGTGCTCACATTCATCTGGGAATGATGCACTGGCTGATGTAAAACAGCAAAGTGCAGTCTGAAGAACTTGAAGCTGTGGCAAAGGGACCTGCCATCTTCCAGCATAATCTTCAACCACCTGACAGGGAAGCAATCCAAAAAGTACATTATTAGAGAAAATTTCTCGAGTTTAACAATTTGGATAAAACTTACTAGATGATTAAAATAGCGGGGGTGTCAAAAAAATGTATACAAGTGGACACTTGGGTCAACGTTGCTCAAGCACTAGTTTGTCATAATCAGAAGTGTCTGGACGCTGATGGTAACCACTTTGAGCACCTCTTTTAATTGCAGAAGTCAAACATGACTCGTATTCATCTTTTGTTATCGGTATATATTTAGTATTACTATTTTAATAGGTTTCCTTTCTTAAAACGTGTATACATTTTCTTGGCACCCTCTGTATTAGTTAAGCATGAACACCCACTGTATTAGTTAAGCATGAATACAAACGATTTGGGGGGGAGGGGGTTCTTATTTTTTTATTTTCATGGTGTACATGTGAAAAAAATTAACTATTATCTTTGAAAATGTGAAAAAGAAATATATGAATAACTTTACTGTTCAGCTGCTAAATCTTTACCCAACTTTGTAACACACTCTTCACCTCCTATATTTTAGCTTTTGTCAAAATACCAATTATCAAATATTAAAATAGCTAGACAGAATAGAATAATAAAGAAAATTAGAAATGAGTATGTATTTTATAATTATCTGTAAGACTGAACTCTAAGCATTCTGGCAACAAATGAATATTAAAGATATAGTGGCATGTTGATCTGATTATGACAATTTAAACTGTACCATATTATGGAGACGAGTCCAGAATAAAATCAGTCTTGGCTCTGTCACCTAACTAGTTTTATGAATTGGGTAGGTCATCTTCCTTCTCTATGCATTCGTTTCCTCACCATAAAATGGAGATGCTAATGCTTACTTTACATGTTTACTCTGAAGTTAAATTGGAATAACTTATGAGAAAACATTTTAGAACTATCAATTCTATAAAATATTGATCTATGTTATATATCTATAAATGTATATCTATAAAATTATGCTCTCATGTGCAAGACTGCTAGATTAAAACAATGTATTATATTTTTAAAATTTATCATATAAAATGGGTTGGCAAACTATGGCCTGCAACCCAAATTTGGCCTGCCCCGTTTTTGTACAACCCATGAGTAAAGAATGGATGTTATATTTTTAAATAATTGAAAAAAATATTTTGTGATGTGTGAAAACCATATGAAATTCAAATTTCAATGTCCATAAAGTTTTATTAGAACATATCCAGATTTATCCATTTATATATTACCTATGGCTGCTTTCTTGCTATAATAGCCAAGTTGAATAGTAATGACAGAAATCATACGGCTCACAAAGCCTAAAATATTTAATATCTGCCCCTTTACAGAAAATGATTTCCAACACTGATTTAAAAGATGGGAAAACTAGAGCACAGTGAAAAAGCCAAGAACACTCAGAGCTCATGGACTTTTCACATGAATCACTTCCTATTGGGAGACACTTTTCCATGGGTCTCTTGCATTTCTATAGTTTTTCCAAAAGAGGCTTTGCCTGCCTTTATCTTTCAAATACATTTATAGGAAACAGTCATGAAAAATAAAGATGCTGTCTCTCTGCAGACCAGTAAATCTGTTAGCTATCCAGTATAATTATGGTGTCGTCTCTCTCTGATATGCTTGCAGACCATTATCAAAGCCTGGGGTCCCTCGGCTGTGAGGAAAACCTCCTTTGAGTGCAGGATCCACCTGAGCCATTCCCAACACCTTTGTGACACTTGAGGGGCAAGGAGAACCCTCGTGTACATGAAGCTCACACTGCTTGCTGTGCCAGGAGTAAGCAAGTGCTTTATTTCTCACCCAGGAGTTTCATGTCTTCTGCCAGCATCCATGAAACTGTGGCAGGCTTACATAAACTGTCAGACCCTTCACAGTTTTGTGACAATTCTAAATTGCAATACCAGGTAGCTAGCACATGTCTCCAATGTTTCTAGGACCCCGTGTGGATGAAAAAGAAAGCTAGAGAGTATTATCTCTGTGTAGTTGTATCCCTTTCAAATCCTGTAGTCCTTACAAGCTGGAAAGTAAAAACTACTACTAACTATGATAACCCCAAGTAGGACAGACTTTTCTAAACCACCAGGGGCCAAAAAAGAATGGTAGATAAACAGTGGTTCCCTGGCTTTAAATTTTCTCTTCACTAGACTGTTTGACCAGCTTTATTTTCTGCCTCTTTTTGGCCACCACCACACTATTTTGGTACCACATAAGTAATAGGCACCTAACAGTCTCACGTTTTTCCTGTCTTCAGTACCAAATAGTTTGCCCTAACCTGTGTCTACTTACAACCTTATTCACTTCCTATTTATAAGCTGGGTTTATCTCCTTAGAAGAGAAGCTTTCTACTTTTTCAGCTTTTATTTTCATTATAGCTTCCCTCATTCACCAACATTCAGCTTCTAATACCCTCCCTGCCTGATCTAGCTGAGGTCGAACCTAATGCAAAAAAAGTCCTTGTGGGCAACTCCTCCTATGTTTGCCACAATACATTTGAAGGGACAGAAACAAAATTGGCTGAAATTTACATCTTCTTACATGGTTTAATGTCATATGCGATACTGCTAACTCACTATAACATTAACTTAACGCTATAACACTTACTATAACATTATTTCCTTTAAATATTCCTTAAAATATGTAATACTACACATTACATTGCCCTTTTACTTGGCAGCTTTTCTCCTGTGCTGTAAGCACTATCATAAACACTCAGCTAATGAGAACTGATAGCAGGATCTCATAATCTGAAGGTGCTCCACCTGGCCAGCAAGCAACAAATCTCCCATTTTTCTTTTTCTTTTGTATGCTAATAAGTAAAGGTCTTAACATAATGCTGAAGTTGCTGCAAACAAAGGAACAGTATTTACCTGGACCTTTAAAATCAGCTATTACTACAGTTCTAAATTCTTCAAGAAAATGGTCTAAGAAACAGAAATCAACATCAGCAGCCCATCAGGGATTGGTAGAAACCTTTATTTTTATTTTATTTTTTTTGAAAGGCATGACCAACATTACTGCAATGCAATTTACTATAAATTATAGAAACTATATCAATACTGCTGAAAGAATTTATAGCCAAGGCCAAAAGCATGCCCTGATATAACAGTTGAAGAGAAGGGCAGAGCTACTGCCAAAGGAAGATGTTGGAATATTCCAATGATCCTACAGCACTTTCTCAGCACTCATATACAGGAGCACATACCCTGCTCTAAAAGAGATATAGCTATGTTATACGCTGTCTATCTTAATTTACCAAGGCAAATTACTGTGAGAATGAACACAGATTCATTATGTCAAAACTGTCAAAACACAGACTTAATATAAGCCTATTAAGTTGAAATTACATTCATTATTTAGGAACATTAAAATACATCATACAAATTACTATGGACTGAAATGTATCCCCCTAAAATTCACATGTTGAAGTTTTAACCCCGCTATGACTATACTTGGAGATAGGGTTTTTAGGAGGTAATTAAATTAAGTGATGTTGTAAGTGGGGGTAGTCCTAATCAGATACGATTGGTGGCCTTATAAGAAGAGGAAGAGTTATCTCTCCCTCCCTCCCTTCTCTCTCCACCCCCTTTCGCCCCCCATGCATGCACCGAGGAAAGGCCATGATGAGCCCAAGATAAGGTGGCTGTCTGCAAGCCAGGAAGAGAGTCTTCACTAGAACCCTAACATGCTGGCACCCTCAATCTCAAACTGTGAGAAAATAAATTTCTGTTGTTCAAGCCACCAAGTCTGTGGTATTTTGTCATGGCAACTAGAGCTGACTAATACACAAATGTATAAAAATAATACAAATGTAGCAATTTAAGAACCCCAAAAATAGCATATAAAGTGATTAGTAAAATATAGTTATCTGTTTCTTAACTGAGCTCTTCTTTTTTCTAACATAACAATGAAACTACCAAACACAAGTTTGTCACTGAGAAAACAATCCTCTTGATTTCTAAATCCAGTAATAATAGACTGGATCATTAACACAGTGTCAAACATGACTATATTTCTTAGTTGGCCATTCACATCCCTGTGATTTTTCTTCCTGAATTCTCCCATTGTCATCGACTTTCAATATTTTAAACACCTCACTGACTTCACAAGGGGTCAATCAAGCTGTTCACTATGTAAATTTCATTACTTGTTTACAGTGAATCCATCTGCTTTCTAAATCTTATCAAACAAACCAGAAGACATATTACTATTACCTTCCATTATAAGAGATTCAGAAAATGACAATACATGCCTGTATTAATCTGTTAAACAAAGATTAATACAATCTATACATTGAATAAATTTGTTAATTTTCTAAATCCTTAAAATAAACACTGTAATAAACATTGTTAGTCTTATCCCCACCCCCTACAGTATGATTCTTATTCATTTATACTGTGTAGCCTCTCTCTCTCTCTTTCCCTCCATATATGTATATACATATATATATGTTTCCTAGTTCTGTCCACTGAGAAGACCTAGGAGCAATGACACTCCAATAGCAATACGTACACTTACAGCTCAAATCTTCGTTTCTAAATGCTATTCTCCAAAAAACAGAACTTGGGCTCCTCAAGTGCAAGGAGATTGGGCTGCTAAATCCCTCCTCCAGCAAGGCTGGAGCAGGAAAAATACAAGATGAGAATGGAACATTTTGTGATATCAGAAAATAATGAAGTGTTTAAAAAATGATGGGATACAATAAAACAGGAGTCAATCTGAAAGAGCTCCTAACAGCTAAAGCTGGAACAATGTGAGCAACAAAATAAACAATTTAATCCATGGAACCAGTTAAATATCCATGAGTCCATACTGATACAAATAAATAATCAAATAAATATATAAAGGTTAGAGATTAGACATCTTCCTCACAGTAAAATCCCAATAAACAAGCACAAAATGAAAAAAAGAAATAAAGAATCACCATTAGGCAAATATACAATTATGAATGTTGTACCATTAGGCAAATATACAATTATGAATGTTGTAGACAAAA